ACACAGACACACACAGACACACACACACACAGACACACACACACACACACACACAGATACACACACACACACACACTCAGCTCAGTCTGCAGCGCTGCATTGATCAGGATCAGGTGTGATGTGGATACTTACGTGACAGACAGCTGCAGCGGTGTTATATCTATGGCCGGCGGGTCTTTATATCGCAGCTCTTCATAAAGATCATTTAATGTGACCACTTTCATTTTCTCATCAGGCTCTGAAAATACAGTACACTCACTTTATGACAACAACACACAACTGTGTCTTTAATATAGTAACATTATACAATGTAAAATCATATCATACAATGTTTTATATATAGCACTTGCATTTCATTGCTCTTTTGTTGATTTTGATTGCTTCCTCATTTGTAAGTTGCTTTGGATAAAAGCATCTGCTAAATGACTAAATGTAATGTAATGTAAATGTTTTACAGTAACTATCATGTAGAAGTACACAACATGACTCTGGACATTTAACATACTAAACATATTTAAAACCTTTTACCTCTTTTTTTAATATATTTACATTATTCTGAACGTCTATATTCTGCTCACCAAGGCTGGATTTATTTGATCAGAATTGTGATTAATTGTGAAATATCATTACAGTTTAAAAGAGCTGTTTTCTATTTAAATATATTGTAAAATGTAATTTATTTCTGTGATCAAAGCTGAATTTTCAGCATCATTACTCCAGTCTTCAGTGTCACATGATCCTTCAGAAATCATCTTAATCGATCATTAAGAAACATTTCTGATTATTGTCAATGTTCAAAACAGTTGTGCTGCTTGATATTTTTGTGAAAAACCATGATACAATTAGGATTCTTTGATAAATAAAACATTCCAAATGTTTTACTATCACTTTTGATCAATTTAATCCATCCTTGATGAATAAAAGTATTACATTTAAAATTATCTTTAATACATTATCTTTTGAATTATTGTGGAAGTAAGCTTAATTTGCCCGAATGCTATAATTTACACAAAATTTACATGTCAATACTGATTTCCAGTATTTTATCAGTATGGTGAAAATGTTGTATATATAATATAAACATATATCATTTATATAATATAAATATTAAATGATAAACAAACAAATAAACAAGCAATTAGGCAAAAAAAAATAAAATGTAAATATTCTGTGTATATAAAGATAGTAATGAAAATAAATTTTAAAGAAATAAAATATTTAAATATGAATATAATAAATATAAATATGACATAATAAACAAAGAAATAAATAAGCAATTAAGCAAAAAAACATGTTTAACTGCCTTTAATTTATGCTGATTTACATTAAAATATGTCTCTATAGTGGTGGACATAAACTAAAACAAAAACATTTTATTTAAATGTCAAATAATATTATCACAATGCAAAAAGTCTTAAAAGTAGGCTGAAATATCTTTATGGAAAGTATGATTTTCCTCTTTTGATTTGGGGTGAAATGTGACCTAGAAACATTTTTATCCCATGCATACATAATCAAACTGACCTTCTCCGTTTGCTTTCTCACCATTACACTCAGGAGGAACAAGAGTCATACACCTGCGATGACAGTTGTACTTACAGTCTGAAGAGAAACACAGAGAAAGCAAGACGTTATTGCTCTTTCACAGCTCAGAAGACTTAAAGGAGAAGTAAGCGGTTTCTGAGAAACACTGTTGAAAGTGCACCAAAACACAGTTCCAGCCAATCACCAGTAAGGGGCGTTTCCACTCATGATGGGGGAGGGGCCTGTTGCATAGCATGTTCATTAGTTTGGGGGCGGAGCTCTCAAGATAGGGGCGTGTTTGTTTTGGTAATTTCAAATATCAACAGTTTCTCAGAAGTCGCGTACTGCACCTTTAAAGGAATAGTTCACCCAAAAATGAAAATTCTGTCATTAATTTCTCACCCTCATGTCGTTCCAAACCCATAAGACCTTCATTCATCTTTGGAGCACAAATTAAGATACTTTTGATGGAATCTGAGAGCTCTCTGACCCTCCCATAGACAGCAACACAACTGAAATGTTCCCAAGCCCAGAAACGTAGCAAGGACATCGGTAAAACAGTCCATGTGACATCAGTGGTTCAACTGTAATTTTACGAAGCTATGAGAATACACTTTGTGCGCAAAGAAAACAAAAATAATGACTTCCTTGCTACGTTTCTGGACCTGGGAACATGTCACGGGGGTATTCCAGAAAGCAGGTTATGTGACATACCCAGGTTTGTTTAAGGGTAAGTAAGCGGATAAACTCAGCTTTCGGTTCCAAAAACGGAGGTAACGTTCAGTGTATGTAAGCAGCCATAGCAACTTATTCTCTGAACACAACCTGCTCCGGAGTAGGTTATGTTTCAGGGTTAAGGTCTTTGCACACTGAGTCCGAAATTTTCGTATGCGATTTTTCATATTTGTCATCCTTTCCAATCAAAATGCTTGCTACAGATGCGAAAACGCAGAAAATCGAACCTAGTCCGAATTTTTTTTTGATGGACGAAAGTTTTGGAGGCAGTGTGTAAACGTGATTGACAAAATGTGAGGTCGTATTTATTTTTTAACGTGCAAAAATTTCGGACAAGAATTTCGGAAGTGTGCAAAGACCTTTAGTTTACTTCATATACTTACACATATACTTATATATATATATATAGTTGTATGATGTGTTAATTATAAGCGCTATTACATTTACTATATAAATTATATTATTCTAATATGTTATATTTATTCTATTGTCATATATAATAGTTATCAATATATATTAATTATAAAACATTATTATAACAAGGTAATGTTTATTTTATTTTATTCTAATATACTTATTATATTTTATTGTCATGGATCTGCATTTTCTATAATATATTTCTATAATAAAATGCATATGTGATATTTCTTATTATATAATTAGCATCAAACAAGCAATATAGTTCTTATTCTCAGTGATTAAAAGAATAAACGAAAAAAAATATGACAAATGATTGCACAACCATCAATTAGGTGGCGATATACACTAAGCATGTAAATGACCATTGAACAGAAGAAGAAGAAAGAAACAGCATGGCGCGCTTTTTCTTAGCGTCCGTTTCCATAGTGACTCGTCGATTCGTTGCTCTGTTGAGAATGTCTTGAGTGTTAACTAGGGCTGTCAAAAAAAATTCGAATTTCGAATATTCGTCAAATTTAAAATCAAAATCCACATTCCAATGCAAAAACGTTGCATTCGAATTTTAGGTGTGCGTCAGGCAGCCTTATCAGCGGCACACGAGATCTGATGACGATGTAGGTG